CACATATTTTATTATATTTTGTTATATTTTATCATATTTTAATATATTTTATCCTAATTTTGGTTTTATTTTCGATTTTCGATTTTTAAGAAATTGAACCTAAACCAAACCGAAATATATTTGATTAATATCAAAACCAAAAAAATAAAACTGAAAACCATTGAAACCAAACCAAATTCATTTTTTCGATTCGGTTTTCAGGTAAACAATCGATTCGATTAAAAATTGCCCAGCCCTAGATGCAAGGTACAATTTTCAAGCCCATAAACCAATAAACATGGGCTCTTATTTAAAAAGTGAACTCTACATTCAATGTTCGATCTATATTATTGTTAATTTTATATAACTTTTGTGTATCTGTTTCAACGATGAACGTTCGTCGTTTTTGTGGTCTTTTTAGCAAAAGTACAATTTTCAAGCCCATAAACTAATAAACGTGAGTTCTTTATTTGTAAATGGACTCTACATTCAATGTTTGATCCATATTACAGCTAATTTTATATAGCCACTCAACCTTTGTTTTAGTGACGGACATTCGTCACATCTATGATCTTTGAATCTTTCATATGCAAAGGTATAATTTTCAGGCCCAAAAATTGGTAAACGTGAGCCCTTCATTTGGAAGTGGACTCTATATTCAATGTTTGATCCATATTACCGCTAGTTTTATATAGCCTTTGTGTATTTGTTTCAGTGGTAGACATTTGTTGTATTTGCAGTGTTTTTAATATTTCATATGCAAAAGTACAATTTTCAGCCCCAAAAATTGGTAAATGTAAGCCCTTTATTTGTAAGTGGACTCTATATTCAATGTTCGATCTGCATTATAGTTAGTTTTATACAACTACTCTATCTCTGTTTTGACGGTGGACATTTATCACTTCTATGGTCTTTGAATATTTCATATGCAAAGGTACAATTTTTAAGTCCAAGAACCGATAAACGTGAGCTCTTCATTTGGAAGTGGACTCTACATTCAATGTTTGATCCATATTGCCACCGGTTTTACATAGCCTCTTTATCTTTGTTTCGGCTATGGACATTCGTCACCTCTATGGTTTTTTTAATATTTCGGATGTTAGGTATAATTTTCAGGCCCCTAGACCGGTAAACGTGGGCTCTTTATTTGAAAGTGGACTCCACATTCATTGTAGCCTTGCAGTGGTCCATGATGTGGGGCCCCAAAATAAAGGGCTTGATATTTTCGGCCCCTCGTTATTTAAAAAAAAAATTCAAAAAATACCGGACATTTCAATTATTAATTTACGGTTATTAATAATTGATTAATAATAATTCATCAAAAAGGATTCCATTTAATTATATATATATATATGGAAAGTTTTTTTTTTTTAAACAGTGTGAAATTTTTTGGGGAAAGGAAGAAGGGGGAAGGGGACTTGGGATTTGATCCCAAGTTCTTTAAGTCTTAAGCACATTCCGCAAATGGGTGATCATTGGGCTACTAAGTATTGGACATATATATTGAAAATTAATTTCTTAAAATTGTAGAAATTTAAATCCTAACTTTAACCTCGAATCAATAAATAATTTTTTTTTGAACATTTTGATAAGGGATGGATTCGAAACCTATTCAGGAAGAGGGGGGAATGCATCGACTGACTAGTTAATGCCAATGGGCCTCTAGAACCATGTGCAATAAATAATTATTTTTTATAAGCCAATAAATAAAAATTATTTTAATTTAGAGCATGGAAGGATAATTACTTAGATAACAGGTAAA